TTTAATTATGTATTTGTCTGGGTCTTTCAACTTAATTATGTAAACTTTTATTTGTATTCTATTTTGTAATTTTATGATGATTCTCTCAAAAACTTTTATTGACAAACTTATTTTAAAAATTTATTTCAAAAGTGAGAACGATGCGAAGAAATTTTGCAGAGGTGTAGGCAACAATACAATGCAACAGTTGCTATACTTGTCTTAAGGATATCGGCAAATTTGAGTAACAGATCACATGGTTTATAGAGATCATGGACATATCTTTAAATATGCTTTCCAAGTCTGCGTGACATGCGCCAGTGACCTAATTGCGATAAGGCCAGGATGTTTCGACCTTTAGAGATAATTAAATGGCTAATTTTGTAACTTATGAAGTGGTCTCTACATCTCGGTTTAATAAACTTCCGTTTCTTGAGTGCTTATGAAAAAAATAGATACACGTCGGCATGTATTTTAAGGTATACTTGAAATCGATGTAGCTGACAAGGGAATGCGTTTGAATAATTTAAATATCCTGCAGTGAAACATGTCCTGCGTTTCTCAAGAATGCAGAAACGTTACTCTCGATAAGCGTAAAAAAGAAATCGGAAAGCTTCCTATTGCGGTGCGCGCATATCGGAATTGTATCTGCTTCACGATTTACATTGCACTCTTTTGTCGTTTACGATTTACAAGCGTAAACAGCAATACGAGTTATGCGGAAATAGGATTGCGCGAAGGTTTTATGTATGCATAGGCACATTTACATAAGTCCAGCTTTCCTTTCGTTCTTATAAATAATGTTGATTAAATGGCTGTCTCCGCCGCGATTCACAAGCGTCTACATTAAACGCGGAATTTTTACTCGTGCATGATGAAAATAGAATGCTAATCATCACTAGAATCATAAATCATGAAAAATGGTGGGGCTTCTCGTGAATTGAACACAAAGGAATAGCAATCTAATTAAAGGCAGATTTTTAATTTAAGGTAGGCTTGCTTAAATAGAATTTTAATTGGTGGCTCACTTAATTACTGAAATATTGATTATTTAATTGGCGAGGTCGTAAAAAAAATGATATTTCCATCGAGGAATAATTGATTCTATATTTCCCAAGGAAGAAGTCCATACACATATTCTCTCGTCGACAATTCCGCTCTGTGTGATGTACGAGCACGATCGATGGCCGCTATATATCGAGCACGGAATTAAGTTCAGGGATTAAGTTCGAGGCGATGCACGTTTTACCTTGAAAGTCATCTCCTGGCGAACGTTCATCCGAGCCGGTGGCATGCAGACGGCCTTTAAATTGATCTCCTCCGCCGTGACCCACGTCGGTGACCTAATTGCGCCGCGCGTTCCGATCCTTGCGGATAAATTGCGTTCGCTGCGCGGAACCGGGCCCCTAATTCAGCCGATGCCTCGGAGGCTTCGTTGAAGTTAATCTATCCGCGTACTTCGCTCGCCACTTGATGGAAAATGCAACGGCGTGAGCGTCCGTGCCGTAAATGTTTTAACAGGCCTGAGTGCCACGGGGTTACACGATGGCGGTGGTGGTCGCCTCGCGCCTAACCAGCTGGGAATTTTCTGCCGCTCCCGTTTCTACGTACGGCCTACATCTCCAGATTATGCATTTGCCGCGTCAAATTGCTACATAGCATCAGTTATTCTTTTCCAAGTGTCATTAACTTTGTCACAACGATGATTATATTGTTCATAATGCAAGACAAAGATCGAGAGAAAAATGGTTACGGTCCACTTTTGATAATCCGCGTGAGCCACTTTTAACGAGTTATTAACAAGTCTAAAAAGGATTTATTTTAATCTTATAATTCTTTTCGAAAGTATTGTCCTTTTTATCTCATTCTCTTTTATAAACATTTTTCTATCTTTAATGCATTTTAAGTTTAATTGGATTACACACGATTTACGCGAAATGCCGCGTATAAAAGATGAGTTGTACTAGTACAATAAAGTGAGAGAGAATAAATTAATTGCAATGTCATTAGGAAGAAAGGGGCAACCTCAATTTCAAGGATGATAATTAAATTCATGCTCGTTGCCGCGCATCTCTCGCCAATTTCCAAGAACGTTGCGTCTAAGCCCGTATTTGCGGCAGCATTTCAGTACCGCGAGAGGATTCGATACAACTAGAATCGCTTTAAGAGACGCGTGTAATCATCGCGCGAAATAAATCGACACGTTGCTGCGAATCAGTTTGATGGAAAAAGCATTTTGCGACAGTTGTTCGGTAAATTGAAAAAGAAGGGAAAAAGAGAAAGAGAAAGAGAGAGGGGGGAAAAACGGGTTACGACCGGGAACAATCGTCGAACGGTTTCAAAGGCATTATCGGCACAACGTGGTTTCCCCATTTGTTCACTGCGTCATTCTGCGACGTTGCCACAAGTGCATCACGCGAGGCGGTCGTCTCAATGGCATCTCTCCTCTTCGCCGACGAAAGAAACGGGAGAAAAAGAAGTAACGGGCGTCGCGTCATCGCGCCCGATGAGGACCGTAAGAAGGCCGCGAGACCGTCGTCTTGGAGAAATACATTTGAATAATTGAGACCCGACTGTCGCGTCGCGTCTCGGCCTCGATCGATCTAATCGACGATCATTTCGTTTCTTTCCCGCGATATGAGTTAGTCTCTTTCTCCCTCTCCACCCTCTCTCTCTCTCTCTCTCTCTCTTCCCTCATCTTCCGTTCTCCCGCATCTGCTCTCGTGGCTCTTTCATCGCGGCACTTTGTAGATATTGCTTTTATTCGGGCTCGCTGATGTTACTGCTGAGTTTCCGTCTTCAATCCTTTTAACTTTGTACGAAGCATGGCGCATGTATACGAACATTTAGCACACACGAGGCTGTGTGAGATGGAAACGAGCTTGAGCTAGCTACCGAAGAATTTTAAATAGCTCGAGCTTAGAGTTATGTTATGTCCTGCGGAGTTCACGATTCTTTTCCGTTATTCAACTGTGTATCCTACCGGAGCTCCAAGAATTATTTCGTGAAAAGGTAAACTAAACGGAGCCTGACAGGTTGGGTTGCCTTTGAAATTTATTATTTTAAGTATACCAGGCGTACATAGCGGTCGGAAAAGGAAAGACCGAGCGAAGCCGCAATCGAGAGCGGCTTAAGAGAATTTTTACGTGAACAGAAGGAAACGAAGTAACGTATAGCTGGCGCGGATGGGAGAGGCGGAGAGAAAGGAGGACAAACGAATGAAGACAAAAGGAAGGCCGGTGCTCGGCTCGGAGGGCCTTTCCGTCGTCCCGTAAGCTTCCTTACTCTTCTGCTCTCTCATCCAAGCGCCGAGATACGTGCTTAGAACTCCCGAGCAGCAGTTGGCTGTTCTTTCAGGCTGTTCAGTTCCGTTCTGTTCCGTTCCGTTCCATTCGAATCCCCAAAGGGACCCAGCTCCTTTCCCGCTCGCGGCTTCTACTTCCGTTACCTTCTATGAAAGACATATCCTCTAGTTTAGAGATACGAACCCCCTCGGTGCATCTCGCACGATGCACCTCTCTTCGGGTCGCCATAAATTTGATAAAAGTCCCGTCTTCGTCGACGGGAGACGAGAGAAATCTTATTGGTACACTACAGTGGGTATCTCGACGTATTCGAGATAATACGGCGCTCATTGCGTGGCATATTTTAATTACAATTTACTGTCTGAAAAATTCATTTATTGGACCTTGATATTTTGGACCTTGCGGGCGTCGACGCGGTGCGTATAATTTCGAACTTACAAACCGGCATTGTATATTACGAATTTGCACCATAAAATGAAATACAGAAAGTGCAAATTAATACGACGCAATTAATATGATGCGTTCATTTAACGGTAAACTGGGCGATTGAAAAGCGGAAGTTAAATTTAATTTTAACAATATCCCCATATATTTAAAAACCTGCGAAACTTTATTTATTTATTTAATATAAATTTAGATTTTTCGATATCGAGAGAAATATTGAACAGGTTAATTCAATAATACTGTTACGTGATAATTAGACAATACCGTATAATTAGCTCTTTGCATTGACGCAAATTGTATTTTCTCCATTAATTTTGTCGTGTTATAAAATATTATCGACGATGTATTACTGCCAGGATGTAATCACCAACTCTGCTAAATAATTCAGAGCACTGTGAAAGAAATATGGGATTCAGAAATCCGTGTTATTCATTAAATATTTTATGGGATTCCAATGAGATCTCAATAATCTCAAGATCCCAAAATAATTTTATTTCCTTTCCGTTGTAACATAATATAAAAACATATTGTTTAATATTTATTGCGTACATGTTTAACTGTTTAATATTTATTGTTTAATACTTATTTGCTTTTATATCAATTCATATAAATCATGTATAATATGATTGTAAAGGATTTAAAATATAATCAGAAAAACATTTGTATTTATATATCGTAGGGAAAATTATTTTGAGAAGAGAACAAATTTATTTACTGTTATTTTATTATATTTATATTTATTTAATGAATGTAACAGTAAAATTTTTATTCTTGATACAACTTAAAACTAACTTTGATTTAAAAAAAATGATCAAGGTAAATGTACCAATGTTTGGACACTCTGGACAGTCAGTGAACACATACCTATGTCTGGACACTTTTATCATTTTAGTTTTTAAATAAGTATAACACGAATTAACGTTTGGATACTATAACTAAAGTTTCAAAATACAAGAAAAATATTTTTATCTTTGATTTTAATTCGCGTTATGTTTATTTAAAGACTGCGTTTTGACATAGGAACGTGTCCATTGACTGTCTAGGAATTGGTACATTTACCTTATCTTCCGGCGGTAGCGCCCTTTCATAACGGGAGCAGGCGCGCTATGTACCTACAAAGTACTGGAATCAGATTGGAAATTTGAAAGGATAAGGGGTATTATCGTAAAATATAAACTTTATGTGGTGAAAGTTTACGATATTTGAAAGCTTATTAATAATTTATTTGAATAATAATTGTTGCAATGTATATCGTATAAAAATCGAAGAATGAAAAAAGTTATGAATCTATTTCAGACCGAGTACTTTGAGAAACTTTACAAATAACAAAACGCGTAGAATGTTTTTTACAAATAAATTGAGTACATTTGTGGCATGTCAAGGTGGTAGACGTATTTGTGCAAAACTTGCATCTCCCTCGCTTTCGACGACAATCGAGTGATTGATCTTCCTTCTCAGCAGGAAGATTTTTCCGTAGGAATGCTTGAATATCGATGGGTAGCGATTGTATTTTAGCTCGCAGCGCAAGTTGTTCTTTTATCAGGCCGAAAGCTAGATCAGTCAAAAAAATTCTTCGTCGATACTGATCTCGGTCGCAATATTTCGCGAAGTAAAGTATCTGGGAGTTTATCCCTGCTATGTTCAACATCATGAAGAACAAAGCTAGAGGCCATCGGTTAGTGATTCTATAGATACAGAATACGCAGTGCACATTTTATCCATTGTATCAACTGCTCCTTTTGTTTCGTTATAACTGAGCACTATTTCTGGTATTCTCGTGATTTTATCAAGCTCTGCTAAATCGTGAATTGTGGATAATAAGATAATAGCGTTATTTGGTTTCGGAACGTACGGTACCAAAGTTTCCTGCTTTCGAAAACCGAACAACGAAGATTTGTCGATTGAGTCTTTCGGTTTTTTTCTTGGGAGAAATTCCAGGGGAATTGCCAATTTGTTTTTGCGCATAGTTCCAAGGAATGTGATATTCTTCCCCAAAAAATACTCGGCAAGCTGGTATACCAACTGTCCGTTGTCAGATTCGAGCCTTCGATTGGCTCGACAAGTCTTTTTACAATGTCAGTCGGAGAATTTGACACGTTGAAAGGTCCACTCGGTTGCGTTCCACAGTAAACTTCCAAATTGCTTGTGTAAAAGGTTTTTGCGTCGCACATTGCAAAACATTTCAGTCCGTACTTAGCCGGTTTGCTCGATATGTACTGCACAGAACTACAACGACCTCTGAATGGATGCAGCATTTCATCAGTTGTAACGTATTCGCTCACGGTGTAACTGTTTTTACAATTTCTGACAAATGAGTCCAGCATCGATCTGATTGGTGCCAACTTGTCCGTCTGTTTCTTCTCACTTTTCGTTGACTTATCGTCGAATCGGAGACATCTCAACAAAAATAGAAACCGCTTGTAGCCCATGACTGCTCGGAGTATCTGTATTCCGGTTCCATTTGTTGTCCACAGTTCCAGAACATTAGTGTAAGATCCTTTCTTCGTTCCAATAAAAAAAAGAGTCCCGATCAAAGCTAAAATCTCACACCTCGTGGTATCTCGGCAGTCCCTCTCTCGTTTATATGAAACAGACCGCTTGGACTTGATGTACATATTTGTGTATTTGACAATATCATCGACCATATACCTAAGTAAAAAATCTTATGAAATGCACTTACTTTGTCGGTGATGTCTTTTGGCTGATGTTAGTCCAGGTAAAACGTTTCATAACGTTTCTTTTTTTCACTTTCGACGGTTGTGAATAAGGGTATTTCTTCCATTTCAAGGACTCGATCGTCGACATTTACGTAGTAAAGGTCGCTTTACCTGGGGTTTCCTTCGCAGATCGATGAACGGCTTTTTGAAATGTTATTTGTTTCGCCTCTCTTTCAAAAAATAATTCCCCTTCGCTTGTTTGCGCCCCTTCTGTCTCGTCACCGCTCTGTTCCGACTGACTGAGTGTCGTGATCACTCCTGTAAATCTTTTCTTCCTCATTTTCTGAATCATCCTCGTTGTCGATAGACTCTTGTGTTTTCTTCTCTAAATAATCTAACAAGTCCTTCCTCAAATTATGGTTTGTCGACATTCTAGAACAATAACAAAAGAAAAATCACGTAATAATCTGCATAATAAAATCAATAATTTTTCATTAATTCTAATAATCGGCATAAAATGTTATTTTAATTCATATAGTTTATAAATAATAATAACAATGCTTAATAATGATAATAATAACAAGACAATGAAAATATGTACAATTATATGCAGATGTTGATCTCGACGTTATCGCGGGTGCGGGCGCGCTAGTGTATTTTGTGTACACACGACGGAATAGGAACTTCTAAAAATCCGTAAAATCTGTATAGCGTTAGCAAAACGACAACTACGCCTTTCGACAATCAAATAGACACTGCAGGAATAGATCGGGGAGCTGGAGCCAGGATCAAACCGAAAGTTTTCGTGCATCCCCTCTATAATCACCGCGCGTGCGTGCACAAAATACACAGGCGCGCCCGCTGGAAGATTAATCAATATGTAGGTATTGCAATGATATTGCATCCTTCCGTATATATCTATTCCTTTTTATTATAATAATAAATTCGAAGCTAAAGTGAGAATATAAAATCAATAAAAGGATTTTATGAAAAAGATGGAGTAAAACGCGTTAATGCCTGATAAAACTAATAGTCAATGCTATAGCGAATCGACGTAGTGCAGGATACAATGGAGATTTATTATCGATTTTCTCGCGGCTGGAGGTATCGAGTGATGCACTTATTTGAACCGAAAGAAACGAGATGAAGTCAGACGTGCGTTAAATCCGAGCAAAAAAGAAGACAATTTTGCTGAAATATCGACAGTCTCCGGAATTATGAAAAATGTTGCGATTAAGAAACAAGTTACTAGTAGAGCTATATCGATTAATTTAGTATCTTCTAATTATTTTTTTAAAGCTCGATTTTCCTTGACTGTTCTTGCGATGTTAGTAACTTTCGATAAATTTTTTTTTAATAATTTGCACCTTTAAACTTCCGCGATTTTAAAATTCCTATCGCGATTCTTGAAATTTCAGACACGATAGTTTAATTAAGGAAATAAATGAGAATATAGGTATGCTATTTGCAAGGTATGCTAAAAGCTTCGAATCACTCGAATATTAGAGTTATTAGATTTTTAAAGATTAATTTTAAAATATTTTAAATTAATTTTGATCCTTTTAGAATTACAATAAATTTTTACTTTTTTTTACATTTTTGTACATTTACCGTAATTTAACTTTTATTTTAAACACTGTTTTATTTTTATAAAATAATTTTTATAATATACAATTTGAGCTTTACTCTTGCTCGCTCACACTCATCTTACTATTCTGACGTTCGCTCATCCACTTTCTCGTTTGCACGCGCCGGAGTTTTATTATAGTTTAACGACTTAGACATTTAATGACTTTCACATGATATGTGCTATATTTTTAATATGGTATGTATAAAAGTTATTATTTCATGTAATAATACATAATCCTTCGATAAAAGTAATGCGCCGAAAGATAAATTTAAAAATGGTGAATGTCTTATTTAATATATTTTATGAAATTTTAATTATTTGCTAAGTCGCTTATTATACTTATATGACAAACGCATCCGCAGTATGTATATATGTAATATCAAATAGCGTGACAATTATAATTAATCTGTAGATATAAGCTGACCTAAAATTACAAATATTGACGCGCTTATTGAAGACTCTGAAAGCATCGGTAATGAAATGTAGAGCATTTTAATGTGCACAATATAGGTATTTGAAATGTACGCTACATTACGATAATGGATGCAATATGCTGTCCACAATTTAATGACGTGACATCCACAATATTATATAGTCGCTAACTTGATTTTCGCGATTACGCGTTAAGCGATTACAGCAGCTCATCGATGGACTAATCGAAAGGTCACACATACACGGTATATTTATAACGTGCATCGGACGCGCTAAAGCTTACGCATTGATTTTTAATTACATTGTATATTAACACTATCAATAATGTAAAAACTCGTGGAATTTGTACCAGCCTCGTTTACAGGGGATTCGGTTTACGTCTGTAATAATGACAAGCATAGAAATACCGTATATCGTATCATAAATTATCTCTTTCTTTAACTTTTTTATAAACTAGATACTTTTATTTTTATACTGGGTTTTCTGTCGACTGCCTATTTCTATTTGCGAGCTTTATTGTAAAAATTCGTAAGAAATTAAATTTAACGTTTTTATTTAACGTTTTTTAGAATAAGTTTGCATATTGTCTTCAAAACGAAGAGCTCGTGTGCAAGGCGCGTCTGGTAAACAGATGCAGATTAAACTTTGACATTTTCTTACAGTTATCAATAATGAACAAAATTTCATATTCGACACACATCAGGTAGCTGATAAACAGTTTAGGTTGTTTTTCGCGTAAATGGTAAAATTTTTGAATAAAATAAACAAATGCCGATAAGCTTTGTGGCGTGAATGACGTGACGAGCCTTGTAACCACGGGCGGCAAGCAGCGAGCTGCGATATCGACGTTGGCGCTCGCAGGAACTCCGTTCCTTCCGCAGTAAAGACTAGCTGGGCTTACCATTCGCATGCCTGCTCCACTTACCCTGCCGCAAACGTGCTTCGGATAAAACGCGCCTCGGATTGCTACTGCTTCGCTCGTGCAAACATCGGTATCAATATTTGTGCAGCTAGCTTTCGCGCAAGATAGCAGATCCAATTTTTGTGAAAAAACACTCGCGCTGCATGTAGAAATCTGTTGCAAAAATAAATTCGATTGAAGTGTGACACGTGGCGTTCTCAGAGAACATCAAAATATGCACTTAACATTTAAAATCGTATTGTTCTTAAAACGGATGAGAAATAACTATGTTGTGTTGCTTAGAAAATTGCAATTTAATAATCGTGCTACACATTGCATTTTTTTTACTTCTATTTTTTTGGCGGGTTAAACTTTTTTAAATACAACTGTAATTACAATAATACAATTTTACAGCATCTGTGCCACAGCACAGTAGATTTTTCAATTAACTTTAAGCGATCTTTAACGAAAGTTTGATTTAGAATCACTTTTAAATGACACTTGGTGCTTTACTATATACATTTAATTAACTTGGTTTTATATTGAGTAGCATTTGATATTGAAAATCAAGCGGTTGACATTTCTCATCAAAACTTAGTTAAGATTTATTCCAAACTCAAAGGTTTGCGCGAAAAATGACGTTATAATTTCCGACAGAGTTTACATATATTTTTACTAATATTTGCGCTTTTAGAAAAAAATTTTATAAAAGAATAAAGACGGACTATTAATTAACTTCTTGGTAGCTATTCACATCGTCCCGAACTTTATTTTGTCTGAACTGAATAGCGGGTCGCGCAAGCCGTGATATCTTTAAATTAATTTCCTTTTGGATTCAGTCATTCCATATTTTCTCAATTTCGTCTTCTCCATTTTCAAAGTTCACGTATGCTCGCAGCACTAGAAAGACATCTCACGAAATTCATTAACTTTCACGGATTACCCTCTTCAAACCTTACAATTAATTAAAACTTTCGGCATGAAAATAGCGTCCGCTATCAACTTCTAGTTAAATTTTCTGTCCGGAAATAATTTTGTCCGGAACATTAATTCCTCACAGAATGTCCTTTAGTAAACAATTTCTATTTATTTTACGACGAAGTTTAGGCATCCCGAAATTTTGTTTATTTAGAAACGCTACTTGAAACAAATTTCTTGTATACGATATAATTAATTCTGCATTTTTGATTATTTTTTAATTTAACGCAACTATGGAATATTATTTTTGCATCGAACTATCGCACGGTTGATAAGTTATTCATTGAAAAAGTAAATATAATACAACTTTACAATCTGCTTGTTATAATCTCATTGGAATTCTTTAAACTCGCAACTGAGTTAACAATATGACCTAAAGTCTTAATCCTTTTACATTTCAACTTTTAATCTTTATTTCCCTGGGTAGTTGGATTAATGTAAAATTTGCGGCAAATGGCGTGTTAAGAGTTTTCATAAGAACTTTGTTTTAATTCCATTATATTAAATCAACATATCTCCATTATCCTTTTAATACATAAATTTTTCACGCCTGAGATTCATCGTTTCCAAGATTTTTCCGCAAGAGAGCTTGGCGGTGTACTTACTTTTTATTTTTATCTCGTGTCACAGCAAAGTGATATTGCTTTTTTGTTTATGATGCCGATCAAAGAGTATGTTATATTTTGCATAATTTACATAAATTATACAGCTAATTATTTTTTGTCATAATTATATTTATAATAATATTTATCCTTTTTTGCGGGCTCTCGAAAGTAAAATATGGACAAGGTTAAAAAATTATCGAGTAAATTAACAGCTCGCTCTATCAGCAGCAAATTAATTTAAGAATGTTTTTATGCACATGAATCGATAATTATTCTAGAAATAAAAGATTCTCATTTCATGGATCAGTTGCACCGACAACTTTGATTATCAAAACAACCTCTAATGATTTTCTTCCTAGATCATATTTCTGACTGCAATACAATACAGAGGAAACTAATTGTTTTTGCAGTTGAAAGATGCTCAATGCACTTGTAAAAATGCGAATCGTATGCTGCAAACTCATCTTTTATCTCAAGTTAGTTTCTCGTCTGAGACAACGAAGAACAACCTGGGCAATTGTCGTTACGCTAATTATTAAGTAGTTTCGTGCAATTTTGCTTCAAGTTCTTCAATTTAAACGGGACAATGAAAACGCGACGAAGATCGATAAGCGATCTCCCCCCCCTTGAATTTGCTTTAAACGAACTTCCCCTTGAGTAAACCCTTACGACAGCCATACGAAATTCTACGAGCCACGAAATTATGGCGAGTCGATGACGGCGAATCTAGGCAAAGTTCCACGTTGAAGTTTCCCACGTTGAGGTCGCGCCTCCCCGAATTCACTTGCGAATTCTCCGTCGTAGTACGTACTTGTTTATTTTCCGGAATACGCGAGGCGAATTACGCTTTCTCGTTTGGGCTGACATGCGGGACTGACTCGGGCGGAAAGAAAAGACCGATAAACCGATAAAATAGTTTGCGCAAAATTAAATCTATCGTTATACATATTCACATTTGAAAAGCAGAAGCAAGTGGATCCAAACGAATCGGTTTTGACATGTTGTATTGCATTTACGAGCTACAAATTGATCCTAAATTGGCTAAACTGACTAAAACTAAATGCGATTTCTTGATAGTAGAACACAACAAGATTGTGACAAAACGTTATATTTTAAAACGATTTTATCCTGTTATCTCCCTTCACGTGTACAGAATGTTTCTTAAGTAATATTCAATATTTTAGAAATTTA